TATGCTGTGTTTAGTTTTCGCCTAACTTGTCACTGTGCATTAAGGCCATCATCTCTAATCTGTCCAGAGGACATTGTTCCAAATGTCTTGATGTTTGTTCAGATGCAACTTTGCAAACCTAAGCCATGCTGCCATGTTCGTTTCAGAGAGAAGAAGCTTCTACTGGCAACAATTCCAAACATGCCATACTTTTCCCATCTTTTTCTAATTGAACTGCCATGAACTTTAACATTAAACATGTTAACGGAGGCTTGTAACGTTTAAGGTGTAGTTCTCGGGTGTTTTGTGATTTCTCTGAGCATTACACGGTTTGACCTTGAGGTAAATTTGCTGGAACTCCCAGCTTGGCAAGATTGGCAACTGTAACTCTAATCTTCCTTATTGTAGATTAGAATAATGGACTTCAAATTGTTTGGAAAATGGCCATATAACCCTTTGCATATTGATGCTTTTCTAAGATCATTACTGATGTCTTTCCTCCATGGCATTGTGTTAATACACACACCTGAAGGCTCCAGACCAAAACTGCTTTTATAGAGGTGATCACACTTGCTTATGATCAATTAATCAAAATCCCTTACCCTCTTAATTCCTATTGAAGCTTTAAGGGTGTACATGACTTTTCCATTTTGGCCTAGTTTTTGTTAAATAAATAATGGCACTGTGTCATATGCCATGTGTTCATCTGAGGTTTTATTTACCTAATTTGCCAAAGACCAGGGCCCGGTTCCCCAAAACATACTTATTGCTAAATAGTTCTTAACCTATTCCTTAACCTCTCTCAGCGTGTTAAGAAGCTTCCTAAGGGAGTCTTCTTAGCGTGTTAAGAGTGAGCGTTATTGGGGAACCGGGCCCAGATTATTATGTCCTGATACATAAAACTATAGCATTCAATATGGTGTCCTTTCATTTTCACATGCATGTATATATATATATATATATATATATATATATATATATAATATATATATATATACGTATATATAGATATAAAGCATAAGTCTGAGAAGAATACAGAGAGGACATGCGAGTAAAAGAAGTCCATAATTGCAGCACTCATACGGCAGGATATTGCTTTCTGTGTGCTTCATTTCTAAGAGCTTGAGTCACAAGTAAGATTTAGTGTGAAGATAAATTATGTAGTGTTCTCGTTACATTGACTTGGCCTGGCCTGGCCTGAAAAAGAAACTCAGAAAAGGAAAAGTTTGAAGTCAGCACTTGTATGGCCATATGACCATATTAGCCCAGTTCTGTCACCACTGCATTGGCTCCCTATTAAACATTGTATACATTTTAACATATTGCTGTTTACTTGCAAAGCACTAAATGGTTTAGCCCAATATTTGAGCGAGCTCCTATTGCATTATAGTCCGTGACGTCTATTGCAATCTTAAAATCTTAAAATTCCGGCCAGTTGATAATACCTAGTATATCAAAATCGACTGTAGGTGGTATATCCTTTTTCTATTTAGCACCAAAACTTTGGAAGAGTCTTCCTAACATGACAGTTCAAATCTAGACTAAAACACATCTCTTTGACCTAGCATACACATAACATATTAGGGGTGTATTAATGACGATTCAATACGATACAGATTTCTTAAGCCAACGATTTGATTATTTTCGATACTTCAAAATTTCCAGCAATACAAATTCAATACTAGATATTTTTACATGATATCTATTAAGTTTCAAGTAAATCAACAAAAAAATAATAATTTGCCTTTTATTGAGAATACAGAAACAGTATTGCGAGCAGGACGAGGCCGAGGGACATGAGAGTACGGCACGAGGCCGGTGGCGTGAGTGTTAATGAATGTTAACAGGTGACGTCACACGTAGGCTCATATGGCCAACGCTGGTCATGTGTGTGATGCGTGTGATGTACAATCTGAAGTGCTGCGCAGTTAGACAACGTGAACTAATTCGAGGCCCACAGAGAAGGAAATGAATAGTTGATTAAAGTCGTTATTTTTGTTTGTTTTTTGCTCACAAAATGTATTCTCGTCGCTTGATAAATTTAAGATTGAGCTGCTATAGTCACTTGGATTATTTTAACAATGTCTTTAAAAACTTTTCTAGGCCGCCAAGTTTCATTCCTTAGAAGCCTTTGGAGGAGTGATCCAGCTCTCAGATTTAGTCAAAAATATCTTAATTTATGTTCCGAAGATGAACAAAAGTCTTACGGGGTTAGAACAACACGAGGGCGAGTAAATACTGACAGAATTTTCATTTTGGGTAACTATCCCTTTAAGGGTTATCTGCAGTAGCGGAGTGGCAATCGGGAGAGTCGGGAGTTTTCCCGGTGGGCCGGTAGTGTTTCGAGGCCGCGAAGGCCGGCCCGGTCTGATAAAATGTATTTATTGGACGTTCGCCATGCAAGCTAAGGGAAGAATTTTTTTTTTTTTTTTTTTTTTTTTTTTTACATTTTCTATAACGGAAGCATATATTTGCACTTAGTGCCTGTCTTTAAGCCAAAAAGACGCACGTCTTGAGCCTCAGTGGCGTAGGTCGTAGGGCGTGAAGTAGCCTATTGAAAGCAGCTTTAGATGCGCTGAACGCGAGTTCGAATCCGCCTTGCCGAACTCTCTCTTCGCCCTTTTCCCAACACAGATATGTAAAGATGTAAAATGTAAAACCTAACATTAAGGTCTCTAGCGTTATATTTTGCCAACGAAGTAAAATTGAAACCATGAATATATATGGCGTTGCGCCATTATAATAACTGACATATAGCATCCGTTTGTGCTGCGTGATTACTTTGCTCACGCTATCATCATGGTCAGGCTGCTTGTGTTTTCTCCTAAATAAAAGCTCAAGGGTTTATTTCTTGCAAGTGAAGAAATTAGGACAAAAGTATTTTAATTTCCCTATATTATAGTGTAATGTAGGTTAAAATATACTTTTGAAATACTCATTTACATAGTAGCCTATACATTTATAGGCTATAAATGGATTTTACAGTACGTCATAGGAATAATTATAAATCATTATTACATTATTATAATAATTGTCTGGCATCCTAAAACACCATTGATAATGTAATGCAGACTGAGACTCTCATAACTAAAAAGATGTTTGAGCCCTCTTTTTGTCCTGGTACAAATTAATGTTTTTTCTTTGTTCAACGAGCAGTTCATGGGTTGAAGCTCTTAATTGTGATCTCTCAGAGAGCACGAGATCGATGCATTTAACCTTAAAAATGTCCAAAATTTTCTGGCGGGGGAGCATGCCCCCGAACCCCCCTAGAGGAACAGAGTCCTCCCAACATAGTTTTACAAATTACTATGGGAAAGAACGACCATTAATGAACTTTACTCCAGCATACTAGTACAACAATGTTCCTTTTAAATCAGTAAAACTGTAAATGCTATCGGCTATTAAAATCGTGCCGGCGACGAGGGCCGGTGGTCTACGAAATTTCCCGGTAGATTTTTTGGTCCCACTCTGCCCCTGGTTATCTGTTAGATCAGTGCCGTGTTAGCTGCCCCTAAGTTAATAACTAATGATCGTTGCAACAGAAGTGAATCAATCAAAACTAACTTTAGCTGGACAATAACATTCTAGAGCTGCTGTAAAGCCAAAACAATCTATGTTACTTTAATTTTCTATTATCACTGTAAAGCTGCTTTGAAACAATCTATATTGTTAAAAGCGCTATATAAATGGTGACTTGACTTGACTTACAACCTGCCAGAGAGAGCTCAAATAATAGTGTGCAGCCATTGCCATAAGCATTGTAAGACAATTAAACCAAGCCAGTGAATCTTATAATGTTACTACCTGCTTTCACTAGCTGAGATATACAACAGAACGAAGAAGTAATAGAAGAACAGAGGCTGGATTAAAAAAAAATAACAGATGAATGATTTGTGGCTTGCACCACAGAGGGATAATAGAGCACAATTTTCACACACCAGAGGGAAAACGAAGCATACACCAATAAAACCACAGAGCAGCCATGATGTCTGTTATTGTTAGCTAAATGATGCAGACATAATGTATTTCTTGTGCAAACAATTGTAAAAGAAACCTTTAACAGAAATCCCACTCAAAGCACAAGGATGATAAAGTTTTCTTGAAAACATAAAGGTTCCCCTGAACGTTACCTCTGCAATTTCTGTATGCGTGATAAAAAACAGCTCACAGCTATTTAAATAAGTAACAATGGCTCTCTTATACGCAGGCAGTCTTGACTGTACTGTATCTTATGGCCTTGAATTCATCACAAAGCGTTGAGTCATTGAGCAAGACGGAGAAGAAACATTTACAGTGTTTCTTTAGCTCTGGATTTCAGCCTCTGTTTAACTTCAGCACTACAGTGAGGGACAGCTCCCCATAACCCAACAAACACACACACTTCATGATATTCTCACACAAACGTACAGTTTACACTCATTATATCCTGTATAATATAAGTCCATAAAGCAAACATAGAACATATGAAGAGTTCAGATGCAAAAGCCTCTAAATGCCATTTGAAATTTTCTTCTTTAATTTAAGTTCAGTAATTTCACTTAAATAATGCCATTTAAGTGAAATTACTGAACTTAAATTAAAGAAGAAAATTTCAAATGGCATTTAGAGGCTTTTGCATCTGAACTCTTCATATACACCACATGTACAATTTGCACATGAGCAATTTCACTTGCAAAATAAATTAAACATGGTAGTTCATAGTCCATTTCTATAATGGCATAATAACTGAAAAGCCTGACATATTGGGTTTCACCAACAAAGGTAGTTTGCAGGGATCAGATCAGGTAGCTCCATGTTCATTTTTTACAGTCTAATAGTAAATGACAGTTCTGCATTTTACAATGCTGCAATGTCCTCCTTACCTTATTTTTTCAGCTCTTAATTAAAAAGAAATGGTGAGTTAGACCCTATATGTGGACAGCAATACAAGTGTACTATAAATTTGGGCCTTATGAAAGCTTTATTAATTCATAAAGTACACCTCATGAGACAGCAACTGTGGACACACAGTATGAAGTTACCTGTCATCATTCTGAAATGACTGATCTCCGAGCAGCAGATCTCTAAAGCGGTATCGTGGAGGTAGAGGAGGAACCTCAGAGTCCACATCGGCCATTTTCAGGGTGGAGATGTCCAGAATAACACCAGTATTACTGCTGTTATTTCTCTGAACAGTCTCCGTAGGCAACCTGGAGAAACACACGTAAATCGCAAATATATTATATAGTATACATTATGGATGCATAAACAAAATGTATTATTTATTAATAGTTTCAAGACTACAACCAAATTGTAAGAGTGTGGACAAAATTAGCATGTTTAGCATGTTTACCTGTCAGCAGCGGAGGATGAGCATCGTGGCGGAGTCATTGGCTCTGACAATATGGAGAGAAATGATAAGGATTAGTGCTGAATGTTATAGTCACATGCATAAACATCAAATTAATCCATGCTAATGCAGGGTTACAGCAGAGATTCACATAACTGCAACTTTATGTATAACTTCTAAGCTGGAAAGCTTTAACAAGACATCTTTCACAGATAGTTCACCAGTATCATTAGCCATAATTATACCCTTGAGGAACTACGATCTACGCACCGATTTTCACCTTTTATGTCATTCTTGTCACATTTTGTACACTGAGAAAACTGTCATCTAGAATGTTCCCTGTATGGTTTCTAATTTCTATTAGCACTCTCATGGACACATGAGTGTGTGTAATGACAGTATTGAGCCACTGCATTAGTGTGCAAATCGCTGATGAGTGGGTGGAGCTCGGCTGGCCAAGGGGTACAGTGAAGTACAATGAATAAAACTCAGACTAAAATGTACCTTTGCTCAAGGGTTATACAATGTTCAGATGCTAATAAAAAGGACTGTGCAGAGGATATACATTTTTTTATGTATTGCTAAGGCGAAAAATGGAAGTGACAAACAAAACATGCCCTTGCAGAGACCTTCATATGGTAACATCTACACTAATTAGTTTTATAAAAAGATAGATAACTAATACAGTGCATAGCAAATTACACATATATTAAAGTAACTTCTTAAAGTCAAATCAGGTAGAAATAGCTGTTTAATGATAGACCGATAATCGGTTCAATATTTGTTAGCGATATGCACAATTAATTGGTTACTGGTTGCTTACTATCAAGTCTAAAAATAAAAAGCACCACATGCTCTTTATAATACAGAATAACACTCAACAATATTCACAGTTAACATATTTAATGCACTAGTTTGCATTGCAGTTATTTATATAACAGCCACTCATTCCCAAACAATAAAGGCATAGCTCATTAAATTATAAATTTCACAACTCAAAAACATTATACATTATTATTAATATTATTATTTGTATCTTTGCTATCTTTGGTAACACTTTACAGTAAGGTTACTTGGTTAACATTGGTTAACTACCATAGTCAACATGAACTATGAATGAATAGTACTTCTCCTTTATTAAACGTAGTTAATATTAATTTGAACATTTACTAATGCATTATTAAAATCAGCGGTTGTTTGTTTACATTAGTTAATGTACCATGCATTAACATGAACAAACATCGAGCAGCTGTATTTTTTTATTGACTACCATTAACAAAGATGAACTAATAGGCTACAGTATGTATTGCTCATTGTTCATGATACATTAACTAATGAACCTTATGGTAAAGTGTTACCGTATCTTTAATAATAAAACAATCTGTTCTGGTATTATTGGTAAGATTATTATTATTGGTAATACATTCAATATGTGTCCAGCTCTACATAAAGGTAACAGCATATTAAAATAATTTATAAAGATAATTATCGATTCTGCATATCAGTAATCGACACTTCCACAAAACCATCACCATCATCTGTACTGACATTGGTTATAAAATTCAGTATGTGTCCTATATGTTACAGTAACAACTAGCCTACATTTACTTTTATAGTGGTTTGCCTTTCCCCCCTCAACATTTTAAAAATGATAAATGATAAGCAATCTATGTTTAATTTTCACAAGCAAATCAACACCATACTATGCCCAAAAGCAATCGTTCCAAAACAATATGATAAACGTAAAAAGTAACAAGCACAGCACAATAAAGCACGAATTCGTCATCCGTGACCTGACATGATGTACTCACCTGCCTGAGACTGGCTGCGCGGTCCCATCATTGTAAATAACCGTGTTATTGGCGACACAAACGCCGCACATTTTTTACAAAAGCCACTGCGAAGAGTCCGTGAAGGACTTCCGATGGTAATGTCCTCCTAATAGATCCGTCCTCCATGGAAACTTGCATTAAAGGGGCGTATAGCGACCCTGCTAAACCCTCCTCTTACAGAGGACCACTGGGCGAAACTCCCAATACCTTCAACATCTCTGTTTATTTTTGTCGCGTGCGATTCAACTTTGGATAGATCTATGAGATGCTGATGATGATGTTGGTCATTATTTAAGCAAGACGATATGTTGTCCCCATCATACAACCATCTAGAAGTTCACATGTTCAGATTCTCTCTGCATCCAGTGGAATCCATAGCCTTGATTCACGAGAAGAAGACGCGTCAGGCGAGATGTAGGACAGCAGGGAAACATTTGAGACGCTGTCACCTCTGCATCTGTTAGGCAAAGCCACTAAGTCATCCGTACAGCTTCTCTTCCCTCCCCTTCAAAGCTTACATCGCCATCTCCTGGACCACATGAAATCCTCTACAACACGAACATGAGTAAAGAGACAAACCATGTAGCCTACTTAAATAGCCTACTGTATAATTAAAATATAGCTATGCGCCACAAACATTCACACATACGTCAAACATTTCATGCTATCTGCATTTTAACAATGAGCTGCGAACCAATCAAAATCAAGGCTTAGATTAGGCTATTCACTTTTAGATGCTATTTTTTAATAAAAATCAAGCAGAATTAAAGTGCATCAACTACAATCAAAGTGATTCTTTATTACCACGATGGCATTAAAATGACTATAGATCCTAAGAATCAAAGATTAATTAAACATTTCATACTAACATCCAGTGACAATAGGCCTATATTTACGTAAAACTATACAAATTAACCCTTTGATGCACAACATGGGTCTAAATAGACCCGACTGAGTTTTCATTTTCTATATCTTTGCAAGAAATTAATTTCATCATCCTATTCCAGGTATTCCTCAATGAACTTGTTTTAGATCATTACAAATCCTTATTTAAATTTTTCCTTTCTTACTTTTAGAATAAAAATCGTTTCTGTGTCCCTACCCTTCTAATGCGCAACATGGGTCTAAAAAATACGCGTATTCATGTTTCTTTGCTGAATATTTGAAAGAAATGTAGCCTATTTTATAATTTATTAATCCAGGTTTTCATTAAATATCTTGTTTCTGATTTCCACAAATCATATGTTTATTTTTCCTTTCTTACTTTATAAACAAATATGTTTTTTTGTATTTCTACATCAATTTTAAACACATGGTTAAAAATTTACCCATATAGGAACCTTTGATATTTATAAATAGTATAAATATATTTACTGCAAAAAACTATTCATCTACCACACATTTCACAATTTAACATGACTGCTTTTGTATATTTCATGCATGTAGCCTAAGTTTTATTTACTACATTTTTTTGTCACAGAAAATATTTGATATTTTGTAAAAGACATCTAGATATAGCCTATTTAAACGTTTAGGCTGGTTACCTTGACCTTTAAATCCATTACTTGTGCAAAAGAGAAACATATCCAATATTAGCTAGCGTGTGGTCGACATTTTCTATTTTATCTAATGTTGGCTAGGTCAACAAAATAAAAGTTGCAATAGAAAGTTATATATAAAAGTATATATTGTTGCTGTTGGGCAGAAACCTTGTACCTCCATATTAATTTGTGATCATAAATCAATGCTATCGGTCACATAAGCCATTGTGTGGTGGCATTCTGGTGCACTATATGGCTTCTGTCGCATCATCCGGGTGGTGGGGAGATCCCCCTACAGTTACAGTTCAATTTCAGTGTTATCGGTTATATGTGTGTTATGTGTGACAAAGTGGCCAATAAACATATTTCAAATGTTACAGTAAATGTGTTGATCTAAACAACTGTGACATTGGTTATTTTAACAAAAAGCTTTCTTTATTCGATTGTTGTATCACACTTGCATAGATGGGTCATTTTAGACCCATGTGTGCACTGTTAGACCATACCAGGTTTTTTACAGTAAAATACTGGCAACACTGTTGCCAGTAATTTACTGTAAAAATGCACTAAAACTGATAAGTTGTATTTTTTAGATTGCCTTGAGTTTTAGTGCATTTTTACAGTAAATTACTGGCAACAGTGTTGTAAAAATGCACTAAAACTAATAAGTTGTATTTTTTAGTTAACTTGAGTTTTAGTGCATTTTTACAGTAATTTACTGGCAACAGTGTTGCCAGTATTTTACTGTAAAAAACCTGGTAAGGTCTAACAGTGTGTAAACTTGATGTATTAACACAAAACCTATGAAATATTAAAATATGTGATAATTGAAAACATGATATTTAGAATATTCATAAATCATGAAATATATAGATCATATAAATATTAAATAATTATATTTGTCAAATATTACTGTAAATGCTCAAATAAAGTGATTTCAAAAGGTGAAAAAAAAGCCAAGCCATGCAGTAAATAACATAGGGAATGAATAAGGGTCTTTTTAGACCCATGTTGTGCATTAGAGGGGGTATCCAGCTTACGCATCAAAGGGTTAAAAGACAATACAATATTTATTTATTTTCAATAAACTGATAAGGTAATAAACAGGAGATAATAATAGTATCCTTACAAGGTTCAAGACATAAGGATATTGTCTTTAAAGACAATAAGCCTAGTCTTGCAAAGTTCGTAGAAATTGCATCTTTGTACTGATGTTGTTTTTTATATATTTTTGAACAAGGTTTATAACAAAAATTGAGTGGTGTAACCATCAAATAAAAAATATGGAAATACTTTCATGCTTGGACCTTGAATGTACATTGACTTGTACACACTTGGATGTGTGAATAAACATTAGTTAAACATGTTTCTTTTTTTCTTTTTTTTTCATGACACACAGTCATAAGTGTTTAAATGAGTTATATTATCAGAATATGTCATGCACGACAACAAAATATCTCTTGAATATATTAGATACTCAACAGTGACTTTGATTTGGTGCATAACCAAGCTGATTCATTGCTTTCATTATCATATACATTAAAATGGAAAGATTATGCTGTCAGGCTATGGCAGACCTGTCATTCAACCTATTGTAAGTTGATGTACCATCTCCATGGTTTTGGAAAAAATATTATAAAAGTTGAAAAAGTTACATAGTGCTGCTTTAATAGTTTACCTTTTACACAATCTTATGCAAAGATTTGTGCTTTGTCAAAAGTTGTGTCGAGTTCTTACATGAGGGAGATGTTGAACCTAGAGAAGGTTGTTGTATTATTGTGATATGGGATGGAAACCCAAAGGCCTGAGGTTTACCCTGCCCTGGAAGACATGAAATGGAGTAGTACTAAGATCTCCTTTTATTAAAGTGCCAGCAATGCTTGTAACTCCAGATTGCTCCAGAGGGACTGTCTATTAGTAAATGTCCACAACAAGGCACGTCAATAAGTGTGCACTCATTTTCCATGCCAAACTTTATAAAAGCTTCCCAGAGAGACCCATCTAATGTAATGGATGGTTTCTCTCATGGTTGAAATCAAATTATTTTTCTGCTAACTCAATTTCATTACTCACCTCTATAACCTGACATATTAGCTCCACTAATGATAAAACTCAATGATAATGCAATTTATTTCTGTCACAGATCTATCAAATAGACTTTAACTCAGAGAGCAAACAAGAGTTTAGAAAATGAAGCACAAATTTAGAGCAAGTCCTTATTGTGTCTTTTTAGCAAGACAACCCCAGCCCCTGTGTGCTTTGTCTTCATACATCCAAAGTGTCTGCCAAGAGAAGAAATAGAAAAAGCATTACCAAAACAAAAAGATATAATCATTTATGTTTTGAATAGAAGACTTGATGGATGTGTAAGAATACAATGTTCTGTCATGAAACTACATGGCACAGACTGATAGGTGCTTAAAGCCACACTGCAGAACTTTTGCCCACTATGGGCGCTCGACCTGTAACTTTCACGTCTAGCGTCCCTAGAGGCCACAAGCTCCGCAGCAATGTCACAAATTAAAGTCAACAAACAGTCAACCGGACAGCCTCCCGTGTCTTTAGATTGTGTGTGCTTGAAGTGTTTGAGTGGGGCCGGGCAGCCTTGCCGTGCTCGATTCCCTTGTGGCAGTCTGCTGAGAGAGAGCGAGTCGGGTGAGCCCCGTGGGGCTTATCATATCTGTGAGTGAATGTGGGCGCGGGACAGCGGGCACATTCACTGCACTGAAAACACCGTCGGCCTGAGCTGACTGTAACGTTATGTGTGTTGGTTTATTTTTACAGAAACCGTGGGACAAGTGGTGTGTAGTTTTGGGGGGACTACTGAGTTGTGGGCACGTTCACTACATTTATTGTAACGTTACATTTGACATGAGTCGATTTTATTTGTGCGAGCCCTGCACTGAGGCGGGCTGTGTTTGTGTGTAGAAATGAACACTGGGCTGTGGGCATATTATTACACTCATAAAACATTGGCTGTGGCAGGAATACAAGAAAATACTACACTGCTAATATGAATTTATCTGGGTTACCTTGGAAACGGCATTTGTGTTCAGGCAAGCGTCAGCATCGGTCGAGCACCCTTCCTCTTTTAGCTCACGCCAGCGAGCGAAGCGAAAGCTGGACCAATCTTAATCCTCGTCCTGGCTTTTAATTTGTCACTCTGTTCTTTTCTTTTTTTAGTTTCCTCTGATAAAACCGTTGCCTTCTTCCTTGTAGCTGTTGCGCGGCCATGACGAAAACATACAGACGGCAATCAAACGCGAGTTGAGCACTAACGTCAGAATCTGAGGAAGTTGTGGGTGGTGGGGGAAGTGATGTATGCTGTAAAGCGGCCGAATTTTGTAGTTCTTTTTGTGCTCTGGTTCCTACCCGAAACCCGCAGTTACAAAGTGCTAGTAAAAGCGATACAGACACCTTCAGGATACGGCAGACCCTTCAGGATGTCATTCAATCTATTGTAAGTCGATGTACCATCTCAATGGGTTTTGGTAATATATTATAAAGGTTGAAGAGTTCCGCAGTGTGGCTTTAAAGGAATAGTCACCCAAAAATGACATTTCTGTAATTAATTACTCACCCTCATGTCGTTCCAAACCTGTAATACCTTCGTTCATCTTCAGAACGCAAGGGCAGTGCACGAAAAGTATTCTTGTCACTTTAAAGGGTTAGTTCACCCAAAAATGAAAATTAAGTAGGCCTGAGACGAGAGTTCAAGAGATTTCCACGACGTATGCGCGAGAACTGAACTGAAGTAGTTGAAGGATATCACAATTCTCGTGCATGCTGGAAAGGAATAGTCGAATAAAGTCGTTATTTTTGTTTTCGCACAAAAAGTATTCTCGTCGCTTGATAAACTTATAGTTGAGCCACTGTAGTCACAAAATATTTATACATTTTTTTCATTGACTTTCTGGCCCGTCAAATTTTGATCCCTTAGGCAGCCTATGTAGCAGTGATCCACCTCTCAAATTTCATCAAAAATACCTTCATTTGTGTTCTGAAGACGAACGAAGGTCTTACAGGTTTGGAACAACATGAGGGTGAATAATTAATGACAGAAATTTTATTTTTGGGTGTACTAACTCTTTACATCTGACTGATTTCACATCATTCTCTATAGGGCACAGCTGATTGGTTCCTGCTGTATCAGTAGCCAATAAGCTTGCTGCTCAATCTTCAAATATTTGATCAGCATTTGCTGTACCATTTGCACAAGGTTAAAAACCAAGCATTATGTTTAACAGTCTTGCATTCAATGCAGGAATAAATTATTAAGCACAAAAGCAGCAGCGATTTCAGCATTTCAGCAGCATGCCGTGTCAAATTTCCACATATTCAAATAGAAGAATAGAGTGTTTTGACAACTTTGTGGTTGCTGGAGGTCTCTTTTCTCATCTCCATTAGCCTGCAACATAATATAATTTGTTAAAGCCACACAGTGCATATTTTAATTAGGTACGTTTGAGCAATATTGGCTCACCCTGCTGAAAAATCCAGCTAAAACCAGCCTAGGCTGGTTGGCTGGTCTTAGCTGGTTTAAGCTGGAAGTAGCTGGTTTTAGTTGGTCACCCAGCCTGGCTTAGCTGGTCAAGCTGGTCTCCCAGCCTGACTTAGCTGGTCAAGCTGGTCTCCCAGCCTGGCTTAGCTGGTCAAGCTGGTCTCCCAGCCTGGCTTAGCTGGTCAAGCTGGTCTCCCAGCCTGACTTAGCTGGTCAAGCTGGTCTCCCAGCCTGGCTTAGCTGGTCAAGCTGGTCTCCCAGCCTGGCTTAGCTGGTCAAGCTGGTCTCCCAGCCTGACCAGCTAAGACCAGCCTGACCAGCTAAAACCAACTTGACCAGCTAAGACCAGCCTGACCAGCTGAAAAAGTGTTCAAAACCCCTCTAAAACCAGCCTGATAAACCAACTATAACCAGGCTGGGAGACCAGCCAAAACCAGCCAACCAGCCTTGGCTGGTTTTAGCTGGATTTTTCAGCAGGGGCATGCAGGCAGACATAACATAGTCCACTAGCATTAAGCCATTCAGCAAAGCAAGTTCAGGCACAAATAGCATAGCCCACTAGTGTTAAGCCATGTGCACCATACAACACACCCTACCTCATGGCATCCTGCATATCTAACGACTAGATTTGCTTGGGGGAATACTTGCATAGGCAAAACTAGTTCGCCAAGACAAAGCATAGGCCCCACTTCTTAAACTCAAATAAAACTAAAGGGTCAGGCACAAATATCTAGCATATATGTGGTTTATATGGATCAGTAGCACATGTGTTTTGGTGGTAGATCTGCTGATCTATGACGTACACTTGGCTTGTATTGTTTAATCTTCATAGTCACTTGCTCTGTTGGGTGGTAATTACTTGCTCACAGCCATTTGTTGTGTATGTATTGGCAGTAGCAAGTCCCATAACCATAACCAACAGCAACAACCAACAGCAACAGCAGCGTAGGAGATCTATTACGCCAATACCAAACATATCAACATTGTCATGTCCATTACCATGCTAAACACTCAAGTTGTCATAACAGAAATATAGTTCACACCTCCAAGTGTTTGAGTCAGGGTTATAAGCCTCAACTGATGTAAGAGTTGATATCCCATCTGAGCCTCCGACTGCCAGCAGCGTCCCATCAAACACTGCCAGGGAAACCTCCACAACGCCAACATGACAAGAGATGGAATGAAACACTTAAAACTATAAAACTCATTTTACTCTGTCAGACATGAGGCAAGAATATTGTCAAAAGAGTGTCAGTTTTGCTGCAGTATACTTCAGACAAAGTAAACAGGTGTGAGTAAAGAGGTGTGTACTAAAATGTAAACAGGCACTGAAGAAAACAAAACAGGCTGCTGTGAGGAAAGTCTTACTTTAAAACGCTTATGTCTCATGTGTTTGACCGGGGTCCACTTGAGGTTGTTAGGGTCAAACTTCTCTGCCGTGTTGAGCTCCAAATGTAGTTCGTCTCTTCCGCCTGACACATAGATCCGCTGCAAGTATACCGTACAACCAGGCTGCTCTCTGGCAGACCGCATCGGAGGACACGGACGCCATGTTCCTTCCAATGGGTTAAAGCGCTCAACTGGTGGGGAAAATACAGATTGGACTGTTATGAGTTTTCTGACATTTGAAGGTGTGCTAAATACTTTATTATTAAAGGGATAGTTCAGTCAAAACAAACAAAAAAAAATGTCACCATTAAAGGCATTGATATACTTCAAATTAACATAGTTTTGGCTTGATTTTGTTCGAAATAACGTCACGCCAGTTCGTTCTACCATCGTTCTCCGTGGCGATTACGTAATAGGTATGGCTCTGAGGCTCTGTATTTTTTGAGGTAGAAATATTCTCCGGTTAATTTCTTCTGTTGAGTCCGTCAAAAAGTCAGACCTCTGTGAGTAAAAACTTGCACACACTGGAGAGCAGCTTTATAGTAGATGTTTGCTAATAATATAAAATTGCTTAGGTATTTCAAACTTATTTTTTGACCTAAGCAAAGATTGAAAAAGAACTTCGGCATGAGAAGATCTTGGCCTTTACTCTCCCTCATGTCATTCCAAACCTGTATGACTATTTCTTTCAACTCATTCTCATCCTAGGGCGTGTGGTGACGCTTTTGACAATGCGTATACATCCAACTCGCATGGCACCCTTTAGCGTCAATATAACACGCTTCGGTTATGGGTAGGTTTAGGTCTGGGGTAGGGTTAGGGTTAGACCACTAGGAGGCGCCTTCTGGCCCATATATATCTGCGTCTCATATTGGCGCTAAAGAGTGCCATGTACGTTGGATGTATAAGCATTGTCAAAAGCGTCAGTAAATGATGTCTTGGGATGAGAATGGGATGAGAATAAAAGAACGTATTTAGCAGAATGTCAAAGCTGGTTGATTTGAATGAGGGGGATAACCAAACTGACGTAACCTCATGTATTTTTGAATAAGTATCAGATAAATTAAGATGGTGATGACTTTGACTCACGTTGGTCCAAACCTGGGGTGCGTTTCCTGTACAACGATATAGCTCGCTGCTTCACTACCATAGTACGATGCATCATTGGAGAAATCAACTAACTAGTTACGACTGTTTCCCAAAACCCATTGTCGCTAAGTATCGTTCAACCACATGGATTCGCACGTGGTGGAGTAATAAATACTTTTAATGAAACTGTTTGAGATTAATTTAACATTAGATTTTTTAATATAAATTACAGACATGTCGTCAGAGGACCATTTCTAATTGTTCTCAGTTATTTTGCTTTATTACCAGACTTAATATTTGGCTCGTTCTTACATAGTAGAGCACGTTCGCACATGCGCACTCTTCAAAATCGGAACTTTAAATCTTTTGACAAACTAAAAGACGTACATTACATTTGTATGTGTTTCTAAATAAAAGTCACTTTAAATAAAGTTTTAATTTGAGGGTGAATTTTTCCTTTAAGTGATGTTTTGATGGCCATATTAGTCTTTTTACTGCCACATATATGAATAAGTGAAGTGTTGCACAAATGGAAAATATTTTGGTTATTGTATGCCTTTGTAGCAATATCATAGGCAAAACAAGTAGAAAATATTATTTAAAAATTGTAATAATACTACTTGGCTGATCATATGCTTTCAACATGGCGACCCACGTTATGTTTTCTAGGCCACTGATGTGATCATATTGTATACTATAACATATTTGACAAATGCACTATTCATTACGAGTCGATTTGTATAATTATTTTTAAAAGATTTAAAAAGCACACTTTTAAAGATGTTCCAGTAACAATTCATATTTAATGCAGTGTATAATGCAGCACATGTTTACCCTTTGAATATTTATCTACAAATTTAAATCCTTATTTCTGTTCTGAACAAGATTGACTTTTATTTTATGTATATGCACTTGTCTGTTTTTCCCCCACTGAACAGATTAATGGTTTCCACTGCACTGGTAAGTAAATATCCAGGGAAAGGTTGTGGAAGTTCTCTTGACCCTCACTTCTCACACACAGAAATAGGCATACATTCAAGTATGGCACTTCTATTTTCCCTTGTTCTGTGTAAATATATTGCTATGACCATTTTTTTCAGTTTGTGTGAGTCTGTGAGCTGGCAGGAGAGGCATTTGGGTCACCACTGACGTAAAAATAACAACAAACTCTGGCCTATTATTTTTAAGTGCAGTGAAAGCATGTAGTGTTTTTTTCGCCAAAATAAAAGTTTTTTTTATTATTATTATTATTTCTTTTTAAAATTAATTGCTGAATATCAACTGTAATGACGCTGCAGCTGAGATCGGTTTCCAGGACCGGTTCGCCATACACCATTTTATGATGAATCAGAAAAAAAAAAAAAGTTTTTTTTTTTTTTTTTTTTTCGAAACAGAAATTGCAGATCTCTTGATGCTGCTAAGACATTCCACATCACATCACACACATTGAATAACTGGCAGTGTGAATGAACCAAAATCAATACATCCTGTGACAATATTCCGGGAAAAATTCTTCTGGTGTATTTTCCGGAATCTGTGTGAAAGGGGCTTAAAATACACACTGACAGAATGAGTCCCCACGGGGTGATGTAAGCTCACATAGTTGGTGACATTTCCCAAATCCATTCTTGCTAATTCCTGTCCTCCCACTAAATAACAGATTAAATAGAATGATTTTTAAAACAATCAAAAAACTAACTCTCATTTTGACATTATTCTCTATAGGGCACAGCTGATTGGTGCCTGCTGTATCATAGCCAATGAGCTCGCTGTTCAATCTTGTGAGGGCTCTCACAAAATTACCCAAACTTAACATATTTTTCCCTACACTTACACGGATAATTACAGAATAAGTACACTATAATTACAGAAAAGTACACCGTAATTTCAGTGTACTTACAAAGTTACTTGCAGGGTGTATTTCTGTTTGTTACCCCTTATTACCCCAAACTTAACATATCGTCCCCTTGTACTTACACGGAAGTACACTATAATTACAGAAACGTACACCGTAATTTCAATGTACTTACACAGTTGTTTGCGGGTCGTAAAATAAAGTGTTACCAAACGCTCATGTACGAGTACACTCAAGTGAAACTTAAATCATGGTAAAAGAGCTCTATGACAAAATACAGAAACAAACTAATATGGCATAGTTGCTTATAAAATGCATTTCATCTTATGTTTGACTTTGCTAACACTATTGTTTAGGTTTAGTGTAGGTGTGGTACATTATTTTCAAACATGATATAACTTTATTGAGCCACTTACTGGACATTTAATATCCAAACCGTGATATATACAACAACCAACATAATAATAAGTTGCCGGGTTCATGTTCATTTTCAGCCCATTCTCACATTTGAACATGCTTCAATATCTGATGCTTTAGGCGCCCTTTAGCGTTAGTTAGATGACGCCCTAGGATCGCGTGTAACCCTGACCCCATCCCAGACCTAAACCTAACCGCGTCATCGAACTGACGCTTTCCTTTAGCGTCAGTTAGATGGCGCCGTAGGATCAGGAGGATGGCGCCGATGGCGCCGTAGGCATGTAACTGACGCTAATGCCGAGTTCAGACTGCATGATTTTAGCCACGATTTTGGCTCGCCGACAGGTTTTGAGAAATCGCCGACAAATGCCCGAAATCACAGGCAAATCGGCGCTCGTTCACGCGAGTGACAATCACGCAGTGTGAATGAACAAAGACGCGAACTGAGAGAATCACCGACGAGTCGCCGACGCCCGTGAGATATTTGGCATGCTAAATATCTGGACCTGTCGGCGATTCAAAATCCTGCTGTGTGAAAAGTGTTTTGACTGAAAACTACATCGGCGATCACCGGCAGCCAGTGAGAGAGCAAGATACAGAGCAGCAGGGAGTTCGGGGAGGAGTTATAGATCACATATCAACATGATATGGCATTGTTTCAACAAAAAAAGCTTCTTCTCGGTCTATTTGGACACAATAAATGGAAGAAAAATTAGTAGAAATTTGGCAGGAGCACTCGTGTCTGTTTCACCAGCTGTACCACAACCGGGTCGAAAAAAAAAGTCTCACGTGAGAACTCCGGTCTTGCACGTGTGGTGTCGCGCGTTGTTTCCTTTTCATATCTCACGCGTGTTTGTTGTGAAATGTAGTTTGCGTGCAGCGTGCTAGACAGAGTCTGTCGGCGATTTTTCTAAAGTCATGCAGTGTGAAACCTTCTGTCGCAGATCCATCGTCCAGTGTGAACACAGCAGCGACTGAATGCTGGCCAAGATAGTCATGCAGTGTGAAAAGAGCAGCGACCTGACTACTTTGAAAACCGTGCAGTCTGAAAGAGCCATAAAGGGCGCCTAAAGCGTCAAATATTGAAGTATGGTCAAAGGTGACGCCTTGGGGTGAGAATGTGTTGCAATTTTACTTGCAGAAATTAGGCCTGCTCTACAAGCACAATTTTTTCCAATGAGCCTGCAGTGATCATTAATTCTCACTTCTGACCTGAATTCAATGCAATGTCTCCATCAGTCCCTCCAATGACATATACGAACCCATCCAGTACTGCTGCAGACGCCCCCAGAGCGATGCTGGAGCATTGGAGCCATTTTGGTCCAAGTGTCCAGCACAGGATCATACCTGAATAAAATAATTTGATTTGTCCAAAAAGACAATAAAGAGGAAACCAATGTCATATATTCCATATGATCATATGAGACAAAATAGATTAATAGTGCTTTTCTGAACACCAATTGTGTGGTTATAAAACTTATTTTTTTGTATACACAATGGACACTGTCCCATTATGGCATGTTTTATAACAATTATTTAGAACTGTTGCCTGATGCCATGTCTTCATGTGGCTTCTGTACGAAGTACCTCTCTACGATGTTGGTACAGACTGTTCCATCAAATCCCCCAAGGGCATACATGAACCCATCCATCTCCACCACACACACACCACTGCGGGGGCTGCTGAGGGATGCCACCTCTCTGCTCCACAGATTAGTGTTTGGGTCATACCTGGTGAAGAATTAAAATGCCACGAGGAGGTTTTACCATTCTGTTTCAACATATTTGTGGTGTTGCTGAGTGTGAAATGAGTCAGACTACACTGTAAAAAACAAACCGTAAATTTTACGGTAAAAAAACGGCAGCTGTGGTTGCCAGAGCTTTACCGTTAAAAATACGGTAGGAACGTTAATGGTTTTACAGACTTAACTTAAAATTTACAGTAATAAATCGTATTTTATTTTCTGAAAAAAAAATGTGGATTTACCAACTTATTGACATCGGTTTTAGACCATTGTAATACAGTGACAATCAACAATCATCACAGCAGTGATGAGAGTTACATGAACAATCACAGCTCATCACAAGTGAATACTTGTATAAAGCAATGCTTATTTAAAGAAGCTGCACAATGTCATTCACACAAACATTAAGCACCACACATGAAATAAAAAAAATGCAATAAACATTAATTTAACAAATAAAACCCTGTACAAAACTGATTAGAAAAAAAAACAATAAAACTATGGGGAACCATAGTTATTTCAACAAAAATACATAAAATGTAAAGTGTCACACAGGGAATTATGGGAATGTCAATTTACGTTTTTTTCACTGTAAATTTCACAATGATTTGTTCTTTTTCACTTTCAAAAACTGTAATTTTTACGGTATTTTACAGTTATTTACCGTGTATAGTACGGAAACTTTCTGTTAACCAATTAAAAGTTTTGCACTGTAGAATTTTTACAGTATTTTACTGTTAAAATCACAGTTATTTTTTACATTGTATAGAGAAGAAAGGGACTGTTTTGCAACTACATCAAGTCTTAGCTAGAGGCTACTGTACTTAAAGGGATAGTTCACACAAAAATGAAAATTCTTTCATTAATTACTCACCCTCATGTCATTTCAAACCTGTAATACATATTTCGTTTATCTTCAGAACACAAACGAAGATCTTTTTGATGAAATCTGAGAGATTTCTGTCCCTCCATTGACAGTTAACACAACTGACACTTTGACGTTTCAAAACGTTCATAATAATACAACAAATCCATACAGGGTTCATGTTCATTCGCAGCCTATTTGAGCTTCTGCAAGAACCAATGACGTTTGTTCTCACGCCAGGCTGCAGGTTCGGTTGAGCTTCTGTTTATGTTTGCTGATAAATATTTATTTGTGAGTAAAAACCTAAATTAAATCTGTTCATAAAGCGATTAAAGTCTCTAGAAAATCTGGACTAAACCGCTCATTATCATATGGATTAGTTTTACGATCTCTTTATGAACAATTTAAAACATCAAAGTGTTGGTTGCACAGCTGTCAATGGAAAGACAGAAAGCTCTCAAATTTCATTAAAAAAAAAAATGTGTCTCAAAGATGAACGAAAGTCTTTGGAAATGTTTGGAACGACAACAAGTGTGAGTAAGTATTGACAACATTTTCATTTTTGGGTATTTTCATTTTTAAGCATACACAGAGAAGTCCAAATTAAACATGATTTAATGACTCGTAAATGTAAGTACACATTGATGGGACGAGCGAGACGCTAAGACACGAAACGAGCGTTTTTTGTGAGAAAACGAACAGTATTTATATAGTTTTTACCTCGTGTAATCACAGTGATATCCAAGTGATCTGAATCAGTTGTGCAATGTCCAACTGAACCGAACTAAATCAGTTCAATGTTACGCCGGAAGCGATCGCTTGCGTGTGACGTCACTCAATATTTACACGGAGGTTTCGGAAGTTTTACCTTTTACTAAACATATTAGATATACCGAAATCGTCTTCCATTGCGGTTTTTCCGTATATCTAAATATGTTTAGTGAAAGGTAAAACTTCCGAAATCTCTGTATAAACAAAGAGTGACGTAGACGCGCAAGCGATCACTTCCGGCGCATGCGCAGACCGAAGCGCCCGTGCCGTCAGATCATTTTGTCATGGCTATGATTACAAGAGGTAAAACGATATAAATACTGTTCGTTTTCTCACACAAACCGCTCGTTTCGTGTCTTAGGCCATCAATGTGTACTTACATTTGCGAGTCATTAAATCATGTTTAATTTTGACTTTTCTGTGCATGCTTTTTGGTGGACCCCCTTAGCCTCCAGTGTATGACTGACAGACAACAACGGTTTGACTGAAAAATGTCAAAATTGACAATACTGTGGAAATAAAGACAGCTACATCTTGGATGCCCTTGAGGTAAGCTAAAACATATCAAAAATTCATTTCAAAGTGAACTATCCCTTTAAAGCATGTCATTTTTACTTGCGTGAACTTGGATGGACAAAACAATGAGAGAACATATCAAATATCTTCATTTTTGTTCCGAAGGTTTGTGTGGGCTTGGAATGACAGAAGTGTAAACAGAAATATTCATTTTTTGGGTGAATTATTCCTTTAACAAGCCTTACAGAAACCGGGTGATATCCCAATTTGAAGCACAACTTATTTTGGCGGATTTATAAGGTTTTCAACTAGTGAGGGCCACTACACATGTCTTCACAAATCTATATATTTGATATTTCATTATATTTGTGAGTAAAAAAGTAAGAAAATTTGCCCACAAAAGTATAGCCCATCTTGTTCACACACACACACACACACACACACACACACACACACACACACACACACACACACACACACACAAACTAAATTATGCCGAGGTTATTAGATTTATAATCAGACTGACCAAAAATAGGTCATGATATATCAAAGAGTCAGATTACCTTACCTTCACACCTTGTGTTGCAGTACAATGACCAGCACACCTTTTCCCATCTTTAAAATGATGTATGGATATATTTAAGAAATTAAGAGAGCTGTGCACTGACCTCCTTTATTTTTATCTCAATGATAATTATTATTTTGTTAAGTCATGGTGGGCCCAGATCATAGGAAAGCTTTTTACCAAAAGCTTTTTAAGCGCATTTAAAGAATGGCTTTTATCACGTTCTTACTTCTCCACACTGCTCACACTGGTGATTTCATCACGTCCACCTAGAGTAAAGATCATCCCACCCAATGAGCAGACAGCTACATCTCCACAACGCTTCAGCATTGGCGCCATTGTTCTCCATTCATTATAGAGAGGATAAAATTGTTCCACAGTGCATGACGTAGCTGTTGGGGTCCAACCACCAACTGTAAAAAAGAAACAAGAGAAAGAGACTGGCTACATGTCATTGCTTTTACCCCTCATGACAGCAAACATCATCATGAACTTGACAAATGAACCTTTATGGACTAGGGTGGTCCGACACCCTGAAACAAGATGGTCACAAATTGGCTTATTTGATTAGTGCCTTAGAAATAGAAACGAATACTCAGTATTTCTTGCATTTTACATCAAAACATTTGATTACATGTTCAAAATCCTGTTTATTACAGGGTTTTATTGAGTCACAGATTGCCGATGTGCCCTGACTTTTGAATTTCACAGCAGACAGATAATTAGCGCTTGAATGTGTGCCAGGGGCTGTTTGGCACAATGTAAAATAAATGAGAAAATGTTGTTTTCTGTCCCTAGTGTTTAGTGTCCCTGCAGTGTAATTTCGCAGATTTATCATTTAATTATTTAAATTTGCGATAGATAATATAGTGACCCTTACCAATGAACATTGTGTCCATGAGATGCTTTTCAGGAGTCTTAATGAGGTCAGTGATTGTCCGCCTGACAAGGAAAAACAGCCATGTTACATTTACATCATTTTTCTTAATTAGCAACATTTCATCATAATTGTATAATAATAGATTTCCAAAGAAGCAGTGTTAGATACAGAGAAAACCGCATGAGAAATATCCTAATCATACCTTTAACCAATCACAGCTTTAATGAAGAGTAATTACCCTTGTTCATCAAGTATCCTCGTGTCCTCTGTTTCTGTTCACTGACTGGCAGTGTGTAGATATGTAGAAGTACATGATTAGATGGTGTCCTTTTCTTGCCCCCACAGATGATGTTTTGCCCTTTCGACGAGCTGGAGAAATCCCTGAGATACATATCGTATTTGCTGCGTGGTTTAACAGTCTGTAATCATAAAAACTCAAGTAATCTGATATGTCTTATGAAATGGAGTAGGTTCCAGGAAGTGTGTGGAAGTGTTTGGGGTCTGTGAAGCATCACAATAACGGAAAAATCTTGACCAATAATTAATAATATGGATGTAATATGTCACACATATGGTTGAGATGTTTTTATTTATTTATATATATATATATAAATCTGTCATACAAAAACAATTTCTGTATAGATGGAATATACAGAGATAAAAAAAAGAAATAAAAAACATTAGTTAAATTACACACAAAATATGATGTAAAGTATATAATCGTATCACTCGGATAAAACATTTTAGTTTCTTACTTTCAACGTCAACCTCACCTAATCAAAACCACCTGACAGATTTTCCTTAAAATGTATGGAAATAGTATACATATTGTCACGGAGCGCAGAGCTGTGCGCGCAGCTGTCACTGAGCGCGCGCCCTCACCTCTCTCCGGTCTCTCTCGCTCGTTGTCTCCTGAGTTCTAGAACTACACTTCCCTTCGTCCTCCTCTGCTATCATTGGATTCCACCCCTGCCTGGTTCTCCCATTCAGTCTCATCACCTCCACCTGCTAATCATTATCTGCCCTTTATATGGACTGTTCAGTTGTCTGTTGTTTGCGAAGTCTTGTTTTGCCACGCTGCATGTTGCTGCGCATTCCCTTGGTTCATGTCAGTTATTCCTTGTTTTATTACCTGTTTGAATAAAGTGCTGCAGATGGATTCGACTGCCTCCTCTCATTCATCACAGAAGACTTCGCCAAATCAGGATCCAGCAGACTTCAAACGTCTTGCATCAGAAGTTTCTTCCCAGGCCTCTGTATTAATCACCCATCAACAACAACTGGTGAAATTAACAAACCTCACTGACGAGCTGGTGAAGTCCGTGCAAACCCTCACTCAGCAGGTCGCGACCGCTAATCAAGCTCCCGCAGCTGCAGCGCTCTTAACAGCAGGCGTGAGTACGTCTTCAAGCAACCCAAAATTATCTTTCCCTGAGAAGTTTAATGGCTCACCTGCTGCCTGTAAAGGATTTCTGTTGCAGTGCGATCTGTTTATCAATCAACAACCCCAGCTTTATCCCACTGATGCTTCCCGAGTTTCATTCATCTGCTCGCTACTCACCGGGAGGGCGTTGGAGTGGGCAACGGCTCTCTGGTCTGGAGGTCAGCACACATTTCCCTCTTATGATGCGTTTATGTCTCAGTTCAGAGAAGTGTTTGAACACCCGGCGGGCGGTAAGGAACCCTGAGAGCTTCTCCTCGCATTAAATCAGGGGTGTTCCACCGCGGCAGACTACTCGCTGTCATTCCGCACCCTGGCAGCACAGACGGGTTGGACGGACGAGCCACTTAAGTTGCTGTACCGTAAGGGTTTGAATAAGGATCTGCAAGGAGAATTGGCTTGTCGCGACGAAGGGAAGACCCTCGGAGAGCTTATGGAACTCGCCATCCGTCTCGACAATCTCATCCGCTCCCGACGCACAGCACTTTCGTCCTCCCTCTTCATGAGTCCACCGGCCAGTTCAGATATCGAGCCCATGCAGGTCGGCTTCACTCACCTAACACCCGCGGAGAGAGAGAGAAGAAGACGCAATCACCTGTGCCTGTACTGCGGTGAAGCGGGTCATCTGAGAGAGTCGTGTCCCGTGAGATCAAGATCCAGAGACAATTCTGCGGTGAGTGCTTCGTATAATCCTCCCAATTCCCTCTGTGTCGAGGTTTCCTTTAGTTTTAATGGAGATATTTGTGAAACAAGGGCATTAATTGATTCTGGTTCCGCTGGGAATTTTGTCGATTTGGAGTTTGCCTTGTCTAACCATTTCTCTCTCATCCCTTGTGAGTCTCGAGTGGCAGTAGCAGCCCTGGATGGACGCCCCCTGGGGACAGGGGAGGTACAATACATCACACAGCCGCTGATTCTCAACTTCGGATCTCGTCACACGGAGAGAATTCAGTTGTATACTATTAGTTCACCTCTTCATCCTGTAATTTTGGGATTGCCCTGGCTGGAGAGACATAATCCGTCAATTTCCTGGGCTGAGAGGAGAATTACACAATGGTCTCCCTTCTGTCAGGTTCACTGTTTGCCCGCTCTCCATGGTCCTGAAACCGGTCACAGTTCCGCTGAGAAGTTTAACCTGCGAGGAGTTCCTACGGTCTACCATGACCTTGCCTTGGCATTCAGCGAGAGAGAGGCTTCACTTCTCCCCCCACACCGGGCCAGTGATTGCGCTATTGAACTACTCCCCGGAGCCGTTCCCCCGCACGGCCGTGTGTATCCACTTTCGCAACCGGAGACTGAGGCTATGAATTCGTACATTGAGGAACAGCTTGCCAAGGGGTTCATCACCACTTCTACATCCCCCGCATCCGCGGGGTTTTTCTTCGTTAAGAAGAGGGATGGGAGTCTCCGGCCCTGCATCGACTACCGAGGTCTTAATGAGGTAACCGTGAAGTACCGTTATCCACTGCCTTTAGTCCCAGCAGCCCTGGAGCTGCTTCGCTCGGCCTGTTATTTCACCAAATTAGATTTGAGGAACGCTTACAACCTCATTCGCATACGGAGGGGTGATGAGTGGAAGACGGCCTTTTCTACGACTACAGGGCACTACGAGTATCGGGTGATGCCGTTCGGACTGTCCAATAGTCCTTCTGTGTTCCAGTCGTTTGTAAATGAGGTCTTTCGTGACATGCTGAATCAGAAAGTGATTGTTTACATTGACGACATCTTGATTTTTTCAGAGACCCTTGAGGGACATGTCCAGGACGTGCGGGCAGTCCTCAGACGCTTAATTGAGAACCAGCTGTACGTTAAGACTCAGAAGTGCGAGTTTCATCAGACCCGGATTGCCTTCTTGGGATATATCATCAGCGCCGAAGGGGTGCTCATGGATGATAGCAAAGTTACAGCCGTGACGGATTGGCCTCAACCTACCTCGGTGAAAGAATTGCAGCGATTCCTGGGCTTCGCCAATTTTTATCGTAGGTTTATACGCAATTTCAGTCTCATTGTGGCGCCTCTAACTTCTCTTCTCCAGGGAGGAGGGAGGCGTTTCCGTTGGTCTGCTGAATGCACTGCAGCGTTTTCCCGGCTGAAAGAGAGGTTCACATCCGCGCCAATTCTCCATCATCCTAACCCGGAGAGTGAGTTCATCGTGGAGGTCGATGCATCAAGCACAGGAGTGGGTGCGATCCTCTCCCAACGCCACGGTAACCCCGCAAAAATGTTTCCCTGCGCGTTTTTCTCCCGCAAGCTCAATTCGGCGGAACGCAACTATGATGTGGGCGATCGGGAGCTTCTTGCTATGAAAGCAGCCTTTGAGGAATGGAGGCACTGGCTGGAGGGGGCGCGTCAGCCTTTCACCGTCCTTACTGACCACCGAAATCTTGAATATATTCGGTCCGCCAAGCGGTTGAATGCTCGTCAGGCTCGTTGGTCTCTGTTTTTCTCTCGATTTAATTTCAGGATCACGTACAGGCCTGGGTCCAAGAATGGGAAGGCGGACGCTCTGTCTCGCCAGTTCGAGGATTCCAACGAGACTTCCAAGCCAGAACCCATCCTGTCTCCCACTCTGATCGTTGCCCCGGTACAGTGGGATATTATCTCGGAAATTACTGAGGCACAACAAGCTCTTCCTATACCGCCAGAGTGTCCTGAGAATCGCCTTTTCGTTCCCCTCGAACTTCGTGATCGGGTGCTTCAATGGGTTCACTGCACACTCAGCGCTGGACATCCAGGTATCTCTGCTACGGTACAATTAGTCTCCAATCGCTTCTGGTGGCCCACGCTCCGGGTTGACGTTATCAGATTCATTTACCAATGTTCCATCTGTAACACTGTCAAATCTTCCCATCTAAAACCTGCCGGTCTGTTACAGCCTCTACCAGTGCCACAACGCCCGTGGTCCCACATTGCCGTGGATTTCGTAACTGATTTGCCTCCATCACAGGGATTTACCACAGTTTTGTCAGTCGTGGATCGCTTCTCTAAATCCTGTCGTTTCGTCCCCCTGAGGGGTCTACCCACAGCCATGCAGACAGCGGAGGTGCTTGTCAACCACGTATTCCGTCTCTTTGGTCTCCCCGAGGAAATCGTCTCCGACCGGGGTCCTCAGTTCACTTCCCGCGTTTGGAGAGAACTCTGTTCCAAGCTCAACATTAACATCAGTCTCTCCTCTGGATACCATCCGCAAACTAACGGTCAGGTTGAACGGCTGAACCAGGACCTCATTCGATTTCTGCGGACGTACTGTCACGAGAATCAACACGACTGGAGCCGCTTTCTGGTGTGGGCGGAGTACGCCCAGAATTCCTTGATTAAGCCCGCCACTGGTTTGACACCCTTTCAATGTGTTTTAGGTTTTCAACCTCCCCTCTTCCCGTGGGCAGGAGAACCGTCCGACCTTCCTGCTGTGGATGCATGGCTGCAACGCAGCGAGGCCACTTGGAATACCGCCCATGTCCATCTGCGACGTGCTGTCCGGCGCTATCAGCTGCATGCGGATCGAAGGAGGCGTGAAGGTCCCCGGTATAGGCCGGGCCAGTGGGTGTGGCTTTCCACCCGTGATTTGCGCTTGAGACTCCCAAGCAAGAAGCTATCCCCTCGCTTCATCGGGCCCTTTAAAATTCTTCGGCAGATCACTCCTGTTTCGTTTCGGCTAGAACTCCCTACTCATTATAAAATCTCACCCACCTTTCATATGTCTCTTTTCAGGCCCGCTGCCGCTCCCAGGAGAGAGGAGGTCCAGGAGGAGGTCGGTCCCGTGCGGGCTCCCCCCATTGAGGTCGGAGGCGAGGAGGCTTACCGGGTGCGAGAGATCCTGGACTCCAGACGCCGCGGCGGGTCGGTGCAGTACTTGATTGACTGGGAGGGCTATGGCCCAGAGGAA